GAGGGAACCTATCACCACATCACTTGATCCCCCACGATTTCAGTGTTGTTGTTAGTTGAGCATTCGGTCCTGGCACAGATATTATAAATGTTAAAAGGCCTGAAGCTATTGTTTTCAGCCTCTCCTTCAAATTCTTGTTATCTAACCATCAGATTCAACTCCCTTCCTGGCTACTATCTTAAACTTAACCAGCAACCTTGACATTCTATTTGACCCTGAGCTGAAATTCTGATCCTATAAATCTCCATCACTAAGATTACTAAGCTGTTTCACTGCTGTAACCTATCCCTGACTCAGCCCATCTACACTCCATGCTTTTGCTACCTCCAGCTTTAACTATTTTTATGCTTTCTTGCTCAGCCTCCTATCTTGTACTCACTACAAACTGGACTTCATGCAAAACCCTGCTGTCCATATCCTAATTTGCTCTATGTCCTGTAAACCCATCCTCCCTTTGCTCGCTGAACTTCACTGAGTCTGGGCCCCGGAACACCATGATTTTAAAACTCTTATACATGTTTAAATTTATCCATGTTCTTGGCTCTTCCTCCAGTCCAACAGTCCTTTGAGAAATCTGTGTTCTTTCAATTCCTCCCCACTTGTGCATTTAAAACTTCTTTCACCATGCCCACTGGTAGCAATATCTGCAGCAATATTCCAAGATCTGGAATTAGGACCCTTTGTCACCTTTTGCATGAGCACCATTAGAGTGTACTAATAGCTTATTTACACATTCAGACACCTGGAACATATAGAATTGCAGGTAGATGTTAATAATTCTGAAGACAGTCCTAATAAATGTAGACTATTACACTGCAATTTTAGTTGAAGCTGCTGAAGTTTTAACGATAGTCTTATTTGAAGAGGGTGCATTGCGGTAGGTGAATTTTCTAAACAATATTTTAATAAAAGGTCAATAATGCAATACAATACAGAATCCAGGCCCTTTGGCTACTTATTGCCAATACATGGTTTCTATCCCTCTGTTCATGTCCCATTCACGTGTTTATCAAGATGCACCTTAAACGCTGCTAACGTTCCTGCTTCGACCAACTCCACTGGCAGGCCGTTCCCGGCACCCACCATCCTCTGGGTTAAATATTTTCCCCACGCTTCTCCTCTAAACTTTTCCCCTCTCACCTTGAACCTGTGCCCTCTTGTAGTTGACTTTTCCACCCTGGGAAAAAGCCTCTTAATATCCACCCTATCTATACCTCTCATAATTTTGTAGACCTCTATCAGGTTGTCCCTCAGCCTCTGTCTTTCCAGTGAAAACAATCCAAGTTCACCTAACTTATCGTCATTACTAAAACCCTCCAGACTAGAAAAACATCCTGGTAAACCTTCTCTGCACCCTCTCCAAAGCATCCACAGTCCTTCTGGTAGTGTGGCGAACAGAACTGCATGCAACATTCCAAATGTGGCCTAACTAAAGTTTTATACAGCTGTAACGTAACTTGACAACATTTATATTCAATGCCCCAGCCAATGAAGGCAAGCGTGCTATATGATTTTTTGACCACGTTATCCACCTGTGGTGCCATTTTCAGAGATCTGTGGACTTGCACACCCAGATCTCTCTTTATGGCAATGCTTCTAAGGGTTCTGCTACTTATTGTATAATTCGCACCTGAATTTGATCTCCCAAAATGCCTCACCTCACATTTGTCTAAATTAAACTCTATCTGCCATTTCTCTGCCCAAATCTGCAATGTATCCATATCTTACTGTATCCTCTCACAATCCTCCTATCTGCAACTCCCCCAATTTTGGTGACATCTGCAAATTTACTAATGAGACCACCTACATTTTCCTCCAAATCATTTATGTATTACAAATAACAAATGTCCCAGCAATTATCCATGCAGAGCACCACTAGATACTGATCTACATTCGGAAAAGCGCCTTCCACTGCTACTCTCTGTCTTCTATGACCAAGATAGTTTTGGATCCATCTAGCCAGTTCACCTTGGATCCCATGAGACTCTACCTTTTGTACCAGCTTGCCATGAGGTACCTTATCAAATAAATTCCTAAAGTTCATGTAGACAACATCCACTGCCTCATCATTCATTCTTGTTACCTCATCAAAAAACTCAATCAAACCCACGCTGCCTATCACTAACAAATCCATTGGTTTTCAAATGTGAATAAATCCTGTCTCTCAGCATCTTCTCCAACAGCCTATCCCCCACCACTGATGTCTAACTCACTGGCCTGTAATTACTTGGATTATCTCTGTTTCCCTTCTTAAACAAACAAACAAATTTGGCCATTCTCCAGTCCTCTGGAACGTCGCTTGAGACCAAAGAGAATGTAAAGATATCTGTTAAGGCCCCAGCTATTTCCTCCCTTGCCTCCCACAATATCCTGGGATAGGTCCCATCTGGCTCTGGGGACTTATCTATCCTAATACATTTCAAGATACCTAACACTTCCTCTTTCATTATGTTGAACTGCCTGACAGTATTCACACACCTTTCCCTAACCTCAACATCTCTCATGTTCCTCACTTTGGTGAATACCAATGTAAAGTACTCATTGGGGATCTCACCCATTTCCTCTGGCTCCACACATTTCTTCCCTCTTTATCCTTGAGTGGGCCTACTCTTTCCTTAGCTATCGTCTTGCTCCTAATATATGCATAAAATGCCTTGGGATTCTTCTTAACTCTGCTGACCAAGGATATTTCCTAGCCACTTTTGGCTCTCCTAATTCCCCGTTTGAGGTCCTTCCTACTTTCTCTATATTCTTCAAGGACTTCTTCTGTTTTAGTTGCCTAGACCTTAGATATGTTTCCTTTTTATTTTAACTAAGCTGATAATTTCTCCTGTCATCCAAGATTCCTGAATCCTGACATTCATGTCCTTCATTTTCACACAAACATGCCTGTCCTTAACTCAATTGATCTTTAAACAACTACCACATCAGATATGGATTCACCCTCAAAACAGTCATTCCCAATCCACATTCTGCAATTCATGCCTTAAAAGTTGTCCTTTTCCCAATTTAACACCTTCATCCACTTTTGTCATTATCCATAAGTATCTGAAAACTTATGGAATTATGGTCACTATGCCCAAAATGCTCCCCCACTGAAACTTTGATCACCTGGCCAAGCTCATTTCCCAATACCAGGTCCAGTATTGCCCCCTCCTTTATTGGACTATTCAACATACTATTTCAGAAAACCCTTCTGGGCACACCTTACAAATTGCTCCCCATCTAAACCCTAACACTAAAGGAGACCCAGTCAATATTCAGAAAGTTAAAATCACTCACCATAACAACCGTATTATTTTCACATCTTTCCAGAATCTGACTACATATCTCTTCCTCTATCTCCCACTGGCAGCTGGGAAATATGTAGCACAATCCCAGCATTGTGAGTGCACCCTTCCTATTCCTGAGCTCTAACCACAATGTCTTGCTGCACGATGCTTCCAGGGTGTCCTCCCTCAATGCAGCTGTGATATGCTCCCTAATCAGTAATGCAACTCCCCCACCTCATTTGCTTCCTTCTCTGTCTTGTCTAACACATTGCTTTCCCAGAACATTAATCCTGTCCCTCTGTGACAGCAACATCGTAATTGCATGCATTAATCTAGGCTGTACGTTCATATCTCTTACCTGTTATAGTCCTTGCACTGGAGCAAATACAGTCCAAGCTGCCAGTTCTGCTAAGCGCAGCAACCTCTCCTTGACTGTTCTTCCTCTTAGCTATATTTACCTTAGTCTCAAGCTCTTCCCCTGTCTCTACACTGACTGACCCTGCCACACGAGTTTAAACCCACCTGAGTGGCACTATCAAACCTCCCTGCCAGGATATTGGTGCCCCTCTAGTTTAGATGCAACCTGTCCTTCTTGTACAGCTCCCACCTTCCCTGGAAGACATTCCAATGATCCACATATCTGAAGCTGTCTCCCCTACACCAGCTCTTTAGCCACGTGTTCAATTGTACTCTCTCTGTTCCTAGCCTCAGTACCATGTGGCATGGGGAGCAATCCTGAGATTACCACCCTAGAGGTACTTACTACCTAAACTGTCATTGCATGACCTTGTCACTCTTCCTACCTATGTCAGTTGTGCTAATATGGTCAATGATTTCTCTGTTTACCTTCCTGTTTCATGATATTTCTGTACCTACTCAGAAATATCCATGACCCTGGGACCAGGGAGGCAATATACTATCCTGGAGTCTCTCTTGTGGCCACAGAAGTGCAAATAATATTTCATATAATTCATAAATTTAAGAAGGGTGGCTGAATAGCAAGAAAATGGGAAATTTCAACTGTATGTTTAGCATGTTTTTGAAGTAAGGATATTGAAGAAGAAAACCAATGGCTTTTGTACAAAAGATGCATTTGTGATTAAAGCTAAATGAATGATAAAAGGAATAATTTTTAAATGCATGATAATTTCTAAACAAGCAGACATAAATAAATCACATTCTGCTTGCCTAACATCAGTTTTATTTGTGATAAAGGAATAAAGAACAATTTTTGATCTCAAGCTCAAATTGCAAACTACTGTATTCACGTACAATTCTCTGGTCGAGTTATCTGCCAATATCCATTGTAACTTTATCAGGTGACAGAGTCTTTATTTTTTAATTTTTTAATAATGAAAGCATGTTAGGCCGACTAAGATATGGCTGCTTGATATCTTCAGAAAATCAAGACTGAAAATAATGTTTGTTCCACTGTTAGGAAAAATAATAAGTGCAGTGCTGTACATGCATACTACTGCATCTTGTACTATGGACCCATCACTGTGTCAATGAGCAGCTTTTTCCTGTCCTCAGCCCAGGGGAACTGTGGCTATGACGATGTTTTAACTGCAACTCTGATTCAAGTCAGCTATTCTGGCATACACCAAATTAGCTGAGAACGCCCTGGTGTGAATGATTTAGCACTGGCCTCCTGCATGTCTCACCCCCAGATCCTATGCATAAACAGAGACTCTATTATCTCTCAATAAGACAGGAACCTGAAGTAACTCACATGTATATAGTACCTTTTATCATGTCAGCATGTTGCAAAGCATTTTACAGTTTCTGAAATACAATTAAAACATAAATAAAATAACAGTGTAAACACTGTTTTAATGTACAAAACATGGTAGCCAATTTTCATACAGCAAATCCCACACAGAACTAGATTTGCTGGCGTTAAATGGGGTATAAAATTACCAGCACAGGTACTGATCTTCAAACAATTCTGTGGGATTTTTCCATCTAACTAAGACCATACAGGGCCTCCTGTTTGGTATCTCCTTCAAAAGATGGCACTTCCAAAGATGCAGCACACTCTTATTCAGGCAATGAAGTACCAGCTTCGATTATCCTTCGAGTCTCCACACTGGGACTTGAACCCATGACCATCTGACCCACTGACTCAAATGCTATCATCCAGCCAAGGTTACACCTGAATAAGATTTTTCTCATCATTGACTTCTCCAGTCTTTGTGATTCTAGGCTACTGGATGACAATATTTTTCCAATCATTAAAGTCATCTCTCCGAGTTTCTCTTTCTGTCATATCTTTAACTGCTGCAATCATTTGCAGGAGTCTCTTGCCACTTTCTCATTGAAATTTAATACTTTCTTCTGCTCTCAGACCGGGCTGTACTGAATGATCCCTTATCTGATGATTTTAATCTTCATCTCAATCCCCCCCACTTCCCTCTAATGACTCATTTATCCTCCTCATGTCAGTCTGGACTAACTCCTCCACCTTAATTGTGGAATCTTGAAATCTCCTAGACCTCAATCACTGATACAACCCCCATAGCAATTTCGCTTCTGCATTTTGCCTTCTTACATTTTAATTTTCTGCTCTTAGAAAATACAAAAATACAGGGAGCAAATTTCCATGACGTTTTTTCTGTGCACTAACTTTGAAGACCATAAAAGAAACACAAACACATATTATGGCATTAATCTATAGAAATCTCCTTTTGTTGATTTCCTACTTAGGGTTTGTACTGCAATTCATCATTGAAGCATCCTATCATTGAAGCATATCCATATTGTGCTGTAAGTACTTGGTCGGAACCATCTGAATTAAGGTTAGAAAGGAATAGTTAAATGGAGGTGGAGCGGGTGAAAGAAAAGATTCATGATACAGAATGATGAATTAGTAAGACAACTTGCAGTCTCCACTGATTTTACTCAGTCTCATCCACATTATCCCTGTTCCAATTACTGTACTATTCACTCCCTCATCCAAACGCAGATTTGCAATATTGACTACACCTCCCCTCCCTCCACCAGTTGTTCCCAAGCTTCATTCTGCGTAGTACCACAAAAATCTTGCTTTTAGCCTCAACCTGTAAAAGTCTTTGCCCTACATCCCATTTGCCAGCTGGATCCCATCTCCTTGGTATTTTCCTTTCACTCTTGCTCGCTGCCTAGTTTCAAACCAAGCAACTCTTCGTTTGCTCTTCCCAAATACTAAAGCTTTCTGGCAATATTTTAACAATAACCATATTAAATAAAATGAATTATTTACTTTTCCCACCTTTTAGGCACAATGAAAGGTATCCCTCTAACATTCTGAATTATGCCTTTGCACTAGTTTTCATTGTATTTAACAACAGCAAAATTTTACAGTATTATTACACAAGTGTTTATAAAAGGTAAAAAATAGACTTATTATTTCCAGCTTTCAGACAGAAGTTTATCAAAAGTGAAAAATGATACACAATTTTTCTTTTACCCCACAATGTATAATTTTGGATCAGATACTGAATAGGTACAGAAGGAAGAAATCATCAGGCAGCTTTTATCATATCAAAGTTTATGTCTGAATTTTGCTAACAAAGGCAGGTGATCAGACGAGTTGTTTTCATTGGGCAATCTATTTACAGTCCATAGATCTTGTTCAGTAAGTAGAGCAAGTTTTCCAAGAAGCTGCAAGGAACCAACATGGGGAGCTCCTCCTACAGAAATAATAAAATGACATTACAGCCTTTTAGATTTCCAGGGACATTTCCAGATAAAGGCAATACTAAAAGAGAATCATGAAACTGAATGATATAAAGCACATAATTTTCAAAACCGCACTGGACATTTGAAAAAGAACATCCCCATGAAAATTTTTTTATTGAAATTCTGGCAATATGGCAGGTCTGCCAACGTTCCTTCCTTTATTGACAGCAAAAGTCATGGTCTCCGTGATATCCAAGAAAGGGAGAATGCGGACATGGAAAAACTTATTCTGAAAACTCAATGCCATTTCATTGTCAGGAAGTCAATGAGACTGATTTTTAATTATGGTGCCCATCTTATTGGTCTACAATTTGTCTGATGGCTCAACTGAGCTGCCAGAATTATTTTTATGGTCAGAAATAATTTTAATTGGTTAAATAAGCTTTAAATACTCAAGTGTTGTAGATGAAGAGATGGGAGAGGGGGATATTACACATCTTCTCTGTCCAGCCTAGAGATAAACCTTAAGAAGGTAGGGAAAACATCATTTTTGAGAGGCTAGGAGAAGCATCCATGCTGCACTTGGACACCTCAAAAATCAGTGGCGTCAGGAACTACTGGTTTAGCAATTTTGCAATAACTAAAAATGTAGAAGTTTGTGTTAACAAAAAGAGATGCTTTTTCCAGAACAATTGTAACTGCAAAATTTAAAACATGAATTGGTGATTGGAAATTTCTATGTACAATCAACCATTAACAGCTTTCTATACCAAGATCAGAAGGTGCTAGATTAAAATTATATTTCAGTATTACTTACGTTTTGGATCATGACAGTAACTTTTAAATGCTGCAAGTTTTTAACACCCCCTTCCCTGTGAGCTAGGTTTCTTCTCCAGAGTGAAAGTTTGCGCATTTTTTTTTAGAAAAAGGGCCTTGCAGCTCTGGTGGGTTTCCAATCTGTCACTGCAATGAGATAGCAGTGTTTCAATTTTCAGGCCAATGGTGGCATTAGCCACCTGCCCCAGGTACACAAGTAACCTCATTCCACTTGATCCCCACATTTTTGACATAAGGACCTTTCTTTTTGTGTCTTTGTAAGAAGACAGAACTATATTTTAGAAAACAAGAATTTATCAGGATAGTTGCATAATTTCACAGTAAGGAATACAATACATATTATGGGCTGTATTTTACAGCTATGAGTTCCTGCAATGTGTAGAGGATCAGGGGCCTGAGGAGTTCTTTACAAGTGAAGCTGACTTATTCTAACTGAGCAGGTTGGAACTGCGATCAAGTTACTGAAGCACATGCATAGAGAGAAAAAAATGACAGAGTTTGCCACTGCTCTCCCCAGTACAGGTTGCCTGTTTTCTGTGGTAAATAAACCCAGTTAATTTTCCTGCAGTAGTTGCATTGAGCTGAGAGTTATAAATTGATAAATCAGAGACATTTCCAAGTGAATCAGTCAGTCTGTACTTCTTAGAAATCAGTGGAAGCTTCTAAAGATGACTGAACACCAACAGCCTGCCTCACTGCAGGGGATAGCCTTACCATCAGAATCAGGAAGCACAGGCTACTGAACTGACTTCGCGCTTGTTCTCTACCTCGGCCAATAGGGTTCGTGTGTGGAATGGGAGGGGAGGGGAGAGTTTGAGAGGTTTAGAGTTTTAGTTAGTCGTGTTACGTGCAAATGGTTACCACTGGTTTATTTGTAACCATAGTCTAATTACTTTTAATAAATATTAATTCTTGTTTGGTACAGGAACCTGGTCCACGCTTTCTATTAACTTTGGACTGGGAATCAGGTGAATTGGAGTACTGTATGTACCTTAAAAAATTTTAACATTTGCTACAACTTTGGAAACAGCAGAGCTCCATTTATAGTAAGCTAGCCCAGTGGGTCGTAATAATGACAATGCTTGTATCTTCTGTTGGCAGATCAATATTTTCAGAATTTTGATCCCTATGTGTCACGCCCACTAAACTTCTCTGAGATTCTCTCCCTCAGTGCCTTTAAATAGTTATTTTCTGAGCACCCTCATGCCCTCACTGAGCTCATCTTTGTTAGAAGTTGGGATCCCTTTAAAACTGAATTTATCTAGCATTTTCTTGCAGCACGAGACCTCATGTAACTGCTGCTGCAACAGTTACTTCTTTTCTCCAGACAAAGACAATTGCTACTAAACAAGGATAAAAAAGGTAACAATGAGGGCCACCAAGGCCACAATAAGATGACATCAAAAAGTTATCTTTCACCGTATGTACCCAATTATCATAGAATCCCTACAGTGTGGAAGCAGGCCATTCAGCCCATCAAGTCAGCACCAACCTTCCGAAGAGCATCTCACTGAGACCCACTCTGTAACCCTGCATTTCCCAGGGTTAATCCACCTAGCCTGCGCATCTTTGGAATGTAGGAGGAACCCACACAGACGTGGAATGTGCAAACTCCAGTCACACAAGGGTGGAATCAAATCTGGATCCCTGGCACTGTGAGGCAGCAGTGCTAATCACGGAGCCGCTATGCCGCCCCAATGCAGTATTCAGGGTTTAAGTGGGTGAATGACACAGTCAGACCCTAGAAATGAGGCACATTAACAAGTGCTCAGAATCAGGAACAGTCTTTGTTAGGTGGCAGGACCCTTCAGATGGAAGATGGAACAGAAGAAGAAAGCAAGAAGATCCAGAGGACAGTTCCCTAACATTTCAGCTAGAGGAGTGGATGCTGCCTTCACAACCTTAGTGAGAATGACCCATTCTGTCCCAACTGTCTGTTCATTCTCTGGTGTCAGTAAGCTGTGCTCAATTACCATGAATCATATACTATTGCTTTACAAGTTTAATAAACTATCTGAAAATTCTTTATAAATGGTCACCTAAATTAGGTAACTGTGGTCGCAAAAACCCAAAATCTAACATCTTGCCCAGGAGACCATCTCCTGCGTCCTTGACCCCATTCTCTCTAAAATATGGACTATCCACTTTCCTTTGCTAGGCCCTTTGCTAGCTGATTTAATGACTTGTAGCCTCTCTTCAGATGCAGTGCCCATCCTTTACAAACTGCTAAATTCCTAACCCTCAATAGACTCTGCCCTGATTCCTGTTTTTTTTTGATGGAAAATTATCAAATATCATCACATATTCAGCCTCCCTTTCCTCTCATTGCCCTTGAGCATGTTTGTTTTTCACAGAACTCTCAATTTCCCAAAATTCCTGTTTAATTCTCACTGACCAGATTTTCATTTTTGAAAAAGCACTGCAATAGCCTTAAACAAACTGACAAATGTCATCTTCTATGATTATAACTACAGTGCATTATCCCTCCTCTTGCTCCTTGTAGGTTTTGAGTCAACCACATTACTCTCAACCAACAGTTCCCCAATAATGGAGCTTAATGATACTGCCTTTATTTGGCTCCCTTCTTCTTAAATCTGATCACAGTTTTAGCATCACCAGCAATACATTCCTCCACCCATAGCCCTGTTACACCTGGAGTCCTCCACAGCCATTTCCCACTTGCTCAACTGCATGCTGCCCTTGCCAACATCATCCATTGGCATGAGGCTAACTTCCATTTCAACACTGATGAAAGCTCCATTTTCCTACCTCTATCCTGACCCTGAAGACTACCTGTGTTCAGGAGATAGCAAGAACTGCTGATGCTGGAAGTCAGAGTCGATACAGTGTGGAGCTAGAGGAAAACAGCAGGTCAGGCAGCATCAGAGGAGCAGGAAAGTTGACGTTTTGAGTTGGGACCCTTTATCAGGACGAGATGATGGTTTAGTGATTAGGGGTGGGGTCATAATCGAACTGATGGTAGGAACTGGTGTCGGAGAGTTGGCGTGTGGCTTCAGCGATGTAGAGGTCAGTATGCCATATTACCACTGCACCTCCCCCCCATCAGCAGGTTTAATGGGGAGGTTGGGATTGGAGCAGAGGGCTGCACATTCCACTGGGGAGAGGTTGGAGTAGGTGAGAGGGGTGGAGAGATTCAGGTGATTGATGTCATGACAGCAGTTGGAGATGAAGAGGTCGAGGGAGGGCAGGAGGCCGGTGGGTGGTGTCCAGGGGGCTGAGTTTTTCAGAGGTGGGAGAAGGGATCTGCAGAGGGTGTGTTGGACTCCCATTCGAAGAAATAGGTGCAGAGGCAGCGGTAAAAGAGTTCAAAACCGAGGTGTGTATGGAATTCGTTGATGTACAGGCGTAGGGGAATGAAGATGAATCCTCGGCAAAGGACTGACTGTTCGCCTTCAGCAAGGGAGTGGTCTGGGGGAATGATGCATACCCAGCAGGGCTTGGGGCTGGGGCTTAGTGTTAGGCTGGAGCTGGGAGTGGGGATGGAGACGGTCTCTGGAGTGGGTGTGTATATTGGAATGGTCACATGGGAAGAAGCGGAAGTAGCGATGTGGTCAGTGGCGCCATTGGAAGCGACGCTGTCGGCAGCATTGGCGGAAGCAATGTTGTCATCGGAAGTGATGTGAATGGCATCAGCGGGACCAGCCAAGGCAACCGCGTGGCTAATGGATTCGAGATGGTCGGGGATGGGGTTGGGGTCTCTGAGGGGTATCGGTGTTTGGAGGTAAGTACGAGCGAGTTTGGTGTACTTATGATCTTTGATGTCTGATACGGCAGAGGAAAACCATTTGTTGAGGGTGCGGATCCTGCATAGAATGAAAAACAGTAGAGGTCCTTTGCAGATCTGGGAAAAGGAGGCTCTGAGGTGGGGTAGGGCTGCCTGTAGTGAGAGAAGATGGCACATGGTTGGAAGTGTGGAGCTGAGGATCCATAGGAAGAACCGTTTCTGGAGGCTCTGGAGGTACTGTAGATAATGGTTGTCGCGGTTTGGTCCAAATCGGGATGGTCTGAAAGTTGTTTGGAGCCCATGGTGGATAAGCTGGTTGTGTAGGCAGGTACTGAGCAAGGACACATGGCTGTAGTGACGAGTTTGTTTCAGGAAGTGGTCGAAGGGCTTCAGGGCAGAGGAGATCACTAAAAGGTTGCACTGGGAGAGAGACCCACCGAGATCTTTTCAGAGGGAGGAGGACAACTTCTTCAAGGTGGGCAGCCTTGGAAGAGGTTTCACAGTCATCAGCGACTAGGAGATAGTAAGAACGGCAGATGGTGGAAGTCAGAGTCGATACAGTATGGAGCTGGAGGAACATAGCAGGTCAGGCAGCATCAGAGGAACAGGAAAGTTGATGTTTTGGGTCAGGACCTTTCATCCTGAAATATTGACTTTTCTGCTCCTTTGATGCTGCCTGACCTGCTGTGTTCCTCCAGCTCCACATTAGATTGACTACCTGTGATCAAAATGTTTGTCTGACATCCAGCCCTAGTTAAGGAATGAAAACACCAAAGTTGTCATCACAGCTATTGGCATAAACTTTTATCTTTCACCAATTCAGTTTCCTGCTCCATCCTAACTTTGCCTAAAAGTCCTCCACCCCAAACTCTCTATTATACTGACTGACTGTTGTACATTCCCCCTTCCCCTTGTTCTACTTTTTGGCAACTATATCTTAAGCTGCTTTGGGTCTAAACTCTCCTAATTCTTCCTCAAATTCCTCCTGCTTAGCATTTTTCCCAGCTCTTCAAAAAAGAATATTCCTGATAAACTAGGCTGTTCTCATAACTCTGGTTAGTGCTCATTTTTGTTTAATTGCACATGTTTTGTAATATCTTTCAAATCAAAAGTGCTATACAGATTCATGTTACTCTAATACTCTTCTACTAAATGCCATACTCCAAATTGTTAACAAAGGTGCCTAGACTGAATCGTTGGCAGTTTCCATCATGAAAGTGGAAACATGATTTATAATGATAAATCTGAAAAAAGAAAGCAAGGTTCTGCAAACATCAAGTGACATTAAAACAATATTGTTTTATCATAAACGTATTTAAGCTAATCTCTTAAAGGGAAGTATGGATAATACCATTGCATATAAATGTTGCCATTCATCTTGTGGTCTTTATAAAGTACATGTTCTTGACTAATAAGGATTTAGATGTCTTCTCATCAGCCTGCTCAGAGATGTTATTACACACTTTTAGAGAAGGTGGGATTTGAAACTGGACCTCCTGGTTTAGAGGTAGGGACACAACCACTACACTATTCGAGTTCTCAGGTCCTTGCTTGATATTACTGTTTAATTTGGTAAATTTGTGGTAATGACATGACAGTTATTAAAAGAAAGGGAGTACGAAGACTTCTTGCACACCATGTCTTCTAAGCAGCAGAATTAACTGATTTTCCGCTTCCTTCCTTTGGGAAGACATTTGCAATAAGCAAATTAAATCAATTCAATTTAGAGAACCCAGCTCTGTTTCCAATTTAACACAGATATTAAGACTATTTGATTGCTTCTTTTTCATGTAGTTTTGTAACAGATTCTTCAAAAAAAATCACATTAGTCACTGGTTTCAGTTACCTGAGTTTGCAAAGGTACTATGCTCTGTTGTTGAATAAAAAATATAATCCACAGTGACAGCGGATCTGGAGTGACAGGTGGTGACTTCAGCTTTACCAGTGCCTGCTATATAATGGGAGTACGCAGACATTAGCCGGAAGTTGTGTTGGATGGCAGAGGAAGTCCTGCAAAAATCAACAGAATGCCTTGTTGGTTGCAACTGTCTGATTAATTAAAGACTCGTATATTAATTGTAATCAGACCAGACAAAGATAACACACCTCTTCTTTCCCCATTGCTAACTGTTGCATTAAACACCATTTATTTAATGTTCACCTTCAGTAAAGTTTGAAGAGATCAATGAGATCATCAGTTCAGACTTGTCAACGAAGAGGAATCTCCCTCAAATATCTCCCCTTTCCTACTCTTGATGCCTTTCCTTTTCTAGTTGCTCTAAATCCCTTACGTCCTCCCAAACCCAACCTGTATAAGAAAATAAAACTCTTGCCTCTTGACACTACTTCCATGAAACTAAAACTTCCTGTCCTTATTTCCATGCTATTTGACACTGTGAATAGATACCTCTGCTCAGGTAATGGTAACGATGCCTTGGCTGTTGGGAACTCCATAGCCTCACATTCTCAAGCTAAGATTACAGTCTGCTTCAGGCCTCATTTGCACTGTACCTGACCCTCCTTTAAAATCTGCATCTAAAAACAACATTTATTTAAAATCTGATTTTAAAGTTACAGGCAGTTCTGCTAAACGTATGTTCCAGCAACGTGACTTGGCTATAACTTGACTAACGAATAGGGGAATGCTATTTCTAAAATGCAAACTTGTGTTGGCTATAATATGATTCCATTAGGGCATGGGGGAGTACACGTCGACATCATATGATCGTTTCACAGGCTTTGTCCTGAATATGCACAATGTTAGCACCAATACAGTCTCTGTGTCAGCATCACATGATCATTTCACAGACTTTGTTGTGAAGCGCTTTCTGTGAGAGGTACAGTATGCTGTGATTTTCGGTTTTTTTTGCAAATTCTGCCGTGTTACCCTCAAAAATGCGAAGACAAAGTGACCAGAATGTTAGTTAGAAGCATCCTGGTGATAAAATCGTGCATGGTGAACAAAAAAGAAAGGCTCTAACACTGGAAGAGAAGTGAGATGTTATAAAGTGTTTTGAGCATATTGAGAGAACATGTAATATAGTTCATGTAATAGGAATAAAGGAGTCTACCTTCTGCACCATTAGAGACAATGCAGAAAAGATTAAAGCAAGCTGTATGGCTGGAACAAGTCTGAGTGCCAGCAAATCTGTGTGGTCATGGACAAAGGAACTTGGGGAAATGGAGTGGCTTCCATGTGTGTGAATAGAAGATCAAATGAAAAAACGATCTGGGACCACCTTTCTCACTATAAGAGAAAACCTTATCAATTTTTGAAGACCTAACAAAAAAAGCTGAAAATCCTACAGATGTGCCTGTTTTTAGTGCTAGAAGTGGCCAGTTTGCTGGTTTTAAGAACTGCCACACTTTTCATAACGTAAAGTTATGTGGCGAAGCTGCCAGTGCAAACGAGGAGCATGCAATGGCATTTCCTCCTTTAGTAAAAAAATTAATTGATGAATAAGGCTACAACTTAGATCAAATTTTCAATTTGAATGAGACAGGTTTATACTGGAAGCGAATGCCATCAAGAACCTACATTTCTATGAATGGAGTACACACTCCAGGCTTTAAGGTGGCAACGGATTGTATGACTGTGGTGCTGGGTGTCAATGCCAGTCGAGACTTAAAGCTTAAGCCTGTGGTGGTGTACCACTCTGCCAACCTGCAAGCTTTGAAAGGTTACCTTAAGTCTACTCTAGGCATCTACTTTAGGTCACGCAAAAGAGGTTGCATCATGGCACTAATTTTTTCTGATCTTATTACTGATGTTTTAGAAGATGTTTTTAGAAAGTACTGCAGGAAAAAAAATTTGATTTTAAGATTCTCCTCATCCTATACAATGCACCAAGCCATCTTCCCACCATTGGGCGAACTTTCTGAAAACACCAAAGTGCTATTTCTACCCCAAACACAACTTCCCTCCTTCAACGCACAGACCAGGGTGCAATAACTGTTTTTAAAGCTTATTATTTAAGGCACATGTTTAAGAGGTTGATTGCAGCCACTGAGGGGGATAAGGACAGAGTTTTTCAATTTTGGAAGAGCTTTAACATCAAGAATGCAACTGACATTATTGTGGAGGCCTGAGGTGATGTCAGTAAGGACTGCTTGCATGCAGTTTGGTGGAAGCTTCTCCCAGATTTTTTTTCAAGATGTTAAAACCTTTGGTGGTCTGTCCCTAACCCTGCTTTTCCCAAAGGCCCTGTTATTTCCATAGCATGATTTTCTATAACGCAATGTTGTGCAGGAACGCAACTATTGCATTACAGCAGAACCAACTCTAGTCTGGACCCAGTTTAAAAAAATTCTGAAATACAGAGCAACCTTTCTTTGCTAGTATTACATGAAGTAGACTGAATGTTAATAAAATGGGTTTCATATGAAATTGTTTAACACTGATTAATTCTGAATTCCTGAATTAACTTACTCTTCATCCAGATGAGAATTCTTCTTACTTGTGGCATCTTTTAATTCTTCAGAACTGTCCTTAGCATCCAAAGGTTTTTCTTTAAATTACATAGGAAATGTTACTGGAGTTAAGAACCATGCTAATGCTAGACAAATTTGCCAATACTGGCAGCAAATTTCTTAAACTACTGTAAACTCAATGATTAAACCAAAATTCCTATGAAATCCATTTAAAAGGGGCATGTCATCACATAAAACATCAAAAATAATGATGGGCTTACAATCATATGTCTCAAATGGCAGTTTGACATTAGCATAAAAAAAATTTGGAAATCATACCTGCATCTTTTAGAATTTGCTGACATTTCAATGTTTCGTATTGACAGGCTGGTGAAATTCCAAGACTTGGTGGCCAAAGTGGCTTTGTCAAAGCTCTCTGGCCCCTGTGGCTTTGCTCCTGACCTGATACCTACATAAAATATTGCAAGTTATACAGTGTACCAAAAAAAATTCTCTAAAACATTGTTGACTATTTCCCCTCCCAATTCTGATTTCACTGGAGAATTCTGTTGTTGATTTAAAATCGGAGAATACACAGGGGGAGAGGATGCATAAAATCTGCAACAAGAACAAGACTGCACAGATGCTATTAAATAGTCCTAATGCTTTACGACCAGGTAAATGGATTATGCTGACTGAAATAAGGCAGACAACAGCAAATGTATTTTTAAATACTTGCTGATACAACGGCTAGTATTTCAACATAGAGGTTTTGATCATGGCTCTTTTTTGGAATATTGAGTGGCACTTTTGAATACCGGTGCCAGCTTGTACATGTGATATACAGCTTTATTTCATCTAAATCAGTAAAACATCATATGTATTAGCTGAGTTGAAATGAAGTACACCTTAATATGTGGAAGTTTGGGCTGATACTGAATATCAAAGTCAAAGTGAGTGACAAAGTAGAGAATGACAATACCTGTAAAGGGAGGACTATTTATAATATCGGGGAATATGGAAGTCAGGAGGAGATGAGAGGGGATCAGCAATTTAATAGGAATAGGCTTGAAGAAAGAGACAATGGGTCTCAAGGACAAGATTAACTCTGAGTGGGCATGTTGGGAGATAGAAGAAAAACTATAGAAAACGGTCAGATCAAGGACAGGAGAATGCATTGAGCAAGTTTGGCCCAGTGGGTTAATAGGACGGAGAGAGGTAGCACAGGCAGTTGATCGGACTGTCTCGATCTTAGTGACAAAATCGTCCCTGAACTCCTTGCACTTGTTGGAGGTGAGGGTGGAGAGAACAGGAGACAGGGGTATAAGAAGGTAGTTTGCAGCAGAGAAAACGAGTTGGGAGTTAACTCCGCATTCCAGGACATCCTGGAAAAGTGAGCAGTTTTAGCAAATGAATGCAATAGTATTTTAAGCGACTCAATCTAATCTGCAATAGATGGCTGAGACAGTTGTCCACTGTATTCTTCCAACTCTGTATCCTTTGGATTTAAAGGCATAGAGGTAAAAACAATGCCAAGGGATTCGACAATAGTGAGAGAGAGAAAGAGGTTCATTTTATTGGAAGTTTGCACTTGTCTTTATAAAAAAGTTTTCTCAATACTTTCAAATAAAAATGGTACAGAAAAGTTCATATTTTGTGTGTGTTTTTATATGGCCCTGATTTTACACATAAATTTAAAGTATTTGTCCAGGAAGAACTGTCTGGTGTTCAAAACCATGAAACCTTTTCCTCTGAGTAACATATCAGAAATTATCCAATACATATACTACTGCAACATTTTCAATTCGATATTAATTTAAGTTCCTTGGATACTATTAGTCAGAAACTTTTATGTGATTGCAAAGTTTGTCTTCAATAAAGTCGAATATTTCCATTATAGCGTGATGGTTAAACACAAGAGAACTTTAGAATCTTAAATTTCATTAAAGGGATTGGCATTGTTTCCTAATTTAAAAAAGTATCAACCAAGCACTAAGCATCTCCCCATGTTAATGTTTTGAAATGGTTTTCTTGAGATTATTGGCAGTACCTTTCCCATTGGAAGTCCATCATAAATCAGTTTCCCATTCCTAATGAAGTTGTATAATGGAGAATCAGGCACTGCGTTAAAGTCTCCGCACAGGATTATCGGCCAGTATCCACCTGTCCCATCAGATGCCAATTTGTTAATCTCAGCTAAGAGTATTGCAAGCTGCGCCAGCTTGATGTCTCCCCGTCGTGGATTATACAAGAGATGAGTGTTTGCCACACACAGAAGAGCAGCAGATTGTGAAAGAACTGGTTGCAGCAGCAGTACCAGTCCTACATTGTCTCTGTCCAGTACTTGAATCTTAGGACGATAGAATTCTACTGGACTAGCTGAGATGAGTGAAAATTTTGAGCGTTTAAAGCAAATAGCACAGCCATCCCTCTTGTTTCCTGTTCGCATTTTGTACTCACAATGATAACCTGCAGAATAAATAAAGACAAAAATCATTTTCATGATCAAAATTGACAACTGTCTACTAGGACCTGCTGGATTAAATTTAGAATACCAAATATATATAGCCGATTGCTTTAAGAGATACAACCTTTTACAAAAAAAAATAGAATGGAATTGGGAGTTTATAAGATAGTTACATCAGCATTTCTAGTTGGATACAAGGCCTATTTGATTCACACTTCCATGGAGATGGGCTTTGAAAGGGAAGCAAGCCACAGAAAGCCATTGTAATACCAACAGTTTTTAAAGTAAAATCTCCCTTACCCTCACAGACAAAGCAGTCTGCAAAAACCTGGGGGAGAGGGAGAAAAGAAAGAGTGCAATTAGTCCTGCATCTTAAGCAGAAGAAATGCTGGCCTGTTCAGTAACCATGCAAAACGTGCACAGGAGGTTGCACTTGGAATGAGAAGACATTGTGTGAAGCTTTAAATAAGACTGAAAATTGCCTAACTTGGCTAGAGGACATAATCTCCAATTTGTCCCTCACTGTGAAGTCAGTTTGGGTATTAGAAATGATCAATTTGGAAAAGGAAAAAGAAGTAAAATTTGAGGAGCAAGTTCCTGGACAATGACATGGCCACTCAAGAGACAGAGTAAAATATAACTGTGAAGGGGAATTTTCTGTCAGTTTAAAAGGTAAATTGGAATTTTTTTCTGTAGAGTGTAAGTTACCTGCTTGATGGCACTTTGGGATTATTTATTACAGCAAAAGTCTTAAAACTCGAAATCTTGTGTGATTCTTCCAGTCAGCCACTGGAAATTCTTCCTAAAGTTATCAGTCTCTATAAGGATCATAACAATATTGAATTTCTTAAAGCAAAAGAAACTCAAAACATTTTTTCAATGTTCTTCAATCATACAAGTTTTTTTTAACGTCTATCCATTATAGACTCATTTTCTATTAGGCTTAGACTTATGTATACAAATTGAAGGACATTAAGCACAAAATCAAAGTATTTGTCTTGAAGATTTCTGTAAAAACAATCAATTGGTCTTACCCAGTGATTCCAATACTGGCTTCAACTGTTGCCTGTAGTGGTTGTTCTGAACTTCTTGTAAACATAAGATCTAGAAAAAGTCAATCAATGCAAAATATCGTGACCTTTTGTAACAAATTTGTTTATCATACATTCATGGCCAAAAGCAGTTAACATTGATGTACACAGCAACTACTTTTTTGTTTAAAAGAAAGAAGCATTACCATTGCCTGTGAAAGCTTCAGCTAAATTGATTCAGAGGCAATTACTTAGAAACTTTACAGAATTCCTGTCACACTAGTAAAAATAATTGGTTACCATTTGCATTATGCAATTTTAATTAGCAATACCTGTCAATACAAATTACATACTCTCTAAAGATTTTAATCTTTAAATGATTTGGATTTTTCAAATATGTTTAGGAAGCTTAGGAAGCCTAGTTTAACCAACTGTTAGCCTCACACAGAAAATGATATCATCTGATGTTGATGACTAGTGTCATACATAGTTCCATATTTCAATGGTGTATAAAGCCCAGCATCAGGTCATTTCATATGATATCAAACTCATATATTGACTTGTGTTGGTTTTAAAGAAGTGTGTTCTCGCTAAAACATAGGCACACAGCTGTACAATTTATTTAACAACCAAACAGAAGTTTATTAACAAAAGAAAAATGATAAAACAGAGTGTAAGTATAATCCCATTAATCCCAAAACTGTCCATTATAAACTGAAATAAACAAAAACGCTTTTGTATAGTACCCAAAACACTACTATACTCATATAATACTCAAACCACAATCCCTGCATCTAGCACTTGGTACGTTAAAGTCACTTGTGACTTCAGCTTTTAGACTAGAACTGCAGATAGCAACAGGAGGAAGCTATCACTCACTTGCTTAAACGTATTAGCTTTAGGTAACTTCTTCACAGCTTTATCCCAACACTTCTCAGACTAACAAAAACTCTAACTCTTCACTCTGAGGTAACCTAGTTCACTATATAACCTACCTTCTCAGGAGCACAGCAATGTCCTAGTGCTATTATCACTGAACTGTTAATCCAGTGACCTAGGAATATTCTGGAGACCTGGATTCGAATCCTGCCACAGCAGACGGTAGAATCATTAATTCTAGAATTAACAGTCTAATGATGACCACTGTCAATTGTTGGAAAAAAACGCATCTGGTTCACTAATGTCCTTTAGGGAAGGAAACTGCCACCTTTACCTGGTCTGACGTAAACGTGACTCCAGACCCACAGCAATGTAGCTGATTCATACCTACCCTCTGGGCAATTACGGATGGGCAATAAATGCTGGCCTAGTCAGTGACACCCTCATTCTGTGAATGAATAAAAAAAAATACAGCCATCTATCCCAAGGACTTCATGGGACTGCTCCTCTCAAAGTAAAGTCTGACATCCAAAAGCCTCCCCATCTAAGCTATGGGTGTTTAAAAATAACAGGTTCCATAAGTCTCTTACAAACTGTGAGGCTCCATTATTTACCGTCCTGGATTGCAAAACAAAGCCCCCACTGTGGTACACAAAATCCATTCACTCCAAGCTGAGGCCCCAAAGACTGTTTTAAAATAAATCACCATGGCTACATAAATATTAAATTAGAATTATAATTAGAATTATTAATTTCAGACACACGGAAACACACCAATTACTAACTCAAAAACTAGAAGAGTCCCATAGTTTACTTCACAATGTGAGTGTTGAGTTGGGGAGGGCAGGGAGTGTGTGTGAAGAGTTATGAATTAACAATGCAAGTAATTTAGCTTTCTCGCTCAACATGTATTTTCTATACTAAAAAAGAAAGTAATGAGGCACAAATGTTGTACAACTTGAGGTGCTGATCATGTGCTGAAGTGAAATCTATACAATATTACTTACTAAATATGTAAATATATGAGGCTACCTATGGAAGTTATAAATTTAAATCTGATTAAAAGATGCCAGGAGGCAATGAATGAACAGCCTTTAACTGGCCTGCTTCTGAGAGATGATGACAGTAGCTTGCCATGCATTTAGCAATCTAAATTTGCATCTTTTACCACAGAAAACAAATACCTTTTAAGACTTGAAATTCTTCCATGAGGCACAAAGGAAAGGATTCAATAAGCATTTGGTAAGAAGAATGGAAAGAATTTTAAACTCGAAAAACAAATGGGTTTGAATCAGGTAGGAAGTAAAATGTAAAAGATTTCAAATCTACAACACCCCTCTTTGGCCTAATTCCCTTTCAGTTTTAATGGAGGTATACATGTGCAACATGCTCCTAGGAGGCTACTCTTTCCTCATTTAATGTTTTAATTCAAGCTGTATGCCTCGTATTTATTCTCTGTCCCAGCAAACAGTGGCTGGTCAGATGTCCTTGGGCAAACAAAACTCTGGAAGAATAAAGCAGAGATCCAAAGGGATTTGAGTATCCATGTACAAAGACATTAATGTGCCATGGACACATTCAAAACATGATGTAAAATTCTAAGGAACACCTAGTCTTGACTGTCACCTACTAATGCCCATATTTATGCAAAGTACTTGGAAATTGCACACTAGATGTTGACTTTAAAACTAAGAATTTGTACTTACTGTTCAAAACACTTCAAATGGCATCAGTTTAAATGGATACTCTTGTTCATATTAGCTTCACCTTGCATAGTTTGTGAACTGTAAGCCATTTGTCGCAGGCCATTTCCATTGGATCAGGAATTCTAATAGGTGGTATATGACGTTATTCAGAAAGTTTACTTAAATCTTTCTTATGTGGATGGATTTTACATGAATCGGTAGATACTTGCTAACTGCCAGATGTCCATCTGTGATTTGTTGTCAAAACTAAAATTGTCCTAAAATTGGGATGTGAGAGAGGCAGTTCTGAGGATGGAAAGTCTGGAAGAAGAAAATTAAAGGTAAGATTCGATTACCATTTTGCAAAGTATCTCCCAGCTACGGACAGTTTGAATGAAAGGCTGTAGCACCCAACTACAAACAAGGACATTTAAAAAGGAAGGGAAAGATTAAAAATCAGGAGTGACACAAATTTTGAATAGAAAATGAAGCATTGGTGCATTCTTGAAGAGATGCAGAAGTTGCAGTGGACGTGGAGAGGTAACAAAAGCTAGGAGAATAAGGGGTCAGGAGTGACATCAGCGGATTGGGGCAGGGGGAAGGGTGGTACCAAAGGACAAAGTAAGGGGTGGCACGGTGGCTCAGTAGTTAGCACTGCTGCCTCACAGCGCCAGCGACCCGGGTTCAATTCCAGCCTTGGGCGACTGTCTGTGTGGAGTTTGCATATTCTCCCAGTGTCTGTGTGGGTTTCCCTAGGGTGCTCTGGTTTCCTCCCACAGTCCAAAAGTGTGCAGGGTAGGTGGATTGGCCATGCTAAATTGTCCATAGTGCCCAGGGATGTTTAGGTTAGATGGGTTAGACATGGGAAATACAGGAGTAGGGGAATGGGTCTGGGTGGGATGCTCTTCAAAGGGGTGGTGTGGACTTGTTGGGCCAAATGGCCTGTTTCCATACTGTAAGGATTCTATGAAGTGCAGTAGATAGTTGAAGGAGGGGAAAGACACAAGCAGGGTTGGTGACAGGAGTAAGGCCTAAAAAAAAATCTCAACTGATCAGATGGTCCAATGAATCTACCGATTCATGTGAAATTCATCCACTTGAGAAAGATTTAAGTAAACTTTCTGAATAACGTTATATACTACCTATTAGCATTCCTGATCCAATGAAAATGGTCTGCAACAAATAGCTTACAGTTCACAAACTATGCAAGCTGAAGCTAATTCGAACAAGAGTGTCCATTTAATCTGATGCCATTCGAAGTGCTTTGAACAGTAAGTACAAATTCTTAGTTTCAAAGTCAACATCTAGTGCACAATTTCCAAGTACTTTGTATAAATGTAGGCATTAATAGGTGACTGTCAAGACAAGGTATTCCTTAGAATTTTAAATCATGTTTTGAATGTGTCCGTGGCACATTAATGTCTTTGTACATGGATACTCAAATCCCTTTGGATCACTGCTCTAATCTTTCAGAATTTTGAAAATGCTGTTAACCAGCTTTCATAGGTCCAAGATGATGAACTCAAACTTAACTATACTTAAATCAATATGCCACAGTTTTGCTGATTCTTTTAAGGAAGCCAAGAAGAGAGTGGAAGTGTGGTAATGTCACTGTAGCAGTAAGCCAGAGGCCAGCCCAAAGCTCTAGAGGCAAAGGTTCAAATACCACAATGACAACTGGTAGAATGTAAATTTAATTAATACAATTCAATAATTTGAGAAAAATCTGTAACTGAAAGCTAGTCTCAGTGATGGTGCCATTAAACGGTCAATTGTCATAAAAACCCATGTGGTTCACGAATGTCTTTAACTGGCTACACCCGACTCCAACTGCCTAGTGATGTACTCAGTTGTACCAACCTGCTACAGAAGTGTCAAAAAGGAATAAAACCAAATAGACCAACTGGCATCAACTTAAGCACTGGAAATGAGAATGGGTCACTCATGTCGATCCTGCAAAATCCTCATTATCAATGTTGTGGAAGTGCCAGTGTTGAACTCGGGTGGACAAGGTCAGAAATCACACGACACCAGGTTATAGTCCAAAAGGTTTATTTGAAATTACAAGCTTTCAGAGCACTGCTCCTTCTTCAGATGAAGTGAAGAGAAGCACACAGGCACAGAATTTATAGGCAGAGAGATCAAAAGATCAAACATATTGTGTGAGTGGACTGTCTTCAGGCTGAATAATAAGTCTCTGCAGGTGATCA